ACGGCACCCCCGCCTACTCCATCTACGGCCGCCCCCGCCACGCAGCGCCCCTCCTCACTCCCGGACCGGGTCAGGACCCCTGGGACCCCGGTCTCCCCAACGCCGCGCCGCCTCCAGAAAGGCCCACCCGGGAATCCCCCGCCTGAGCCCCGAGCCGCCCTCGCGTACCCTACTACTCCAAACTCGCTACCCCCGTACCCGCATCTCGGAAGAACTCCAAGCCCCACCAGGCTTTGACAAATCGTGGCTCGGAGTCACCCTAACCTCAGGCCCCCAACCCGGGACCCCACCACGCCCCCAACCTGGTTCCGGCCCACACCCCCCGTCCGCCCCGCAGGCAGGTACTTCCCCGAGCGAGCCGGGAACGCGACGTACCCCAGTGCGCCTCGGCACACCATCGCTCCCCGAAACTGGGGCACCCACGCGAAGCAGCAGACACCAGGTGAGACCGAAAGACCCATCCCAGCCCCGCGGACCTTCCCATCCCCTACCCGCAACCCCTCTGCCGGCTCCGGGGGTGGGGGGGCGGGGAAGACAGAGACCCCGGCCTGTCCGCGAAGACTGACCCCTAGACCCACCCCTCGCTGGCTCCTCCCCAGGCCCTGGGACCTACACTGTGCCCTCGCTCTTGGGTCCGCGCGTCATCGGTAAAGTCTCGGCCCCAACTTACTCCCTCTACGGCCGCAGCGCAGTGGGCAGTTTCTTCGAGGACCTCAGCAAGGTCGGGCGGGGCTGCCAGGCGGGCCGTAGCGAGGGGTCGGCGGGGCGGGCCACAGGGGACACGAAGCAGGAGGTGAGGGCCAGTGGCCAGCGGGGAGTGGAGGAAGGACCCAGCAACCCTGCCGCCCTCCCACAGACCCCGGGCCCCTGCGCCTACCACGCAGTGAACACTGGGATCTACAAGTCTCGGGCCCCCCAGTTCTCCATGCTGGCGCGGACTTCGCTCCCCCAAGATAACACCCTGAATCCCGGGCCCGCAGCCTACAACGTGGACCAGGTGGTCTGGAAGCCCGGGTCCAGGGTCAGAGGCGGGGAAGGAGGGTCAGGGTCCTGGGGGTCCCCGCGCGGCGGCTGGACGGCTGGCCCCGCGGGGTCAGCGACGTCTCCTGGTCCCGCAGCCCCGGAAACCCCGCGGCTGGAGCTTCGGGATCCGGCACTCGGACTACCTGGCTCGGGTCCCGACCAAGGCGGACGACTGACCGGCTGGGAGGGCGCGGCCCGACAGACGTTTGCTTAAAGCTTCCCGAACCAGCAGCGTGTCCGCCCTTCTGTGTTCGCGGCGGGCGCGCGGGGCAGGGAGCGTGCGCGTCGGAATACGGGGCGTGCGCGTCAGGACTCTCGTGCCCACCGGACCCCAGACCGCCGCGCGGCCGCCGGCCTGGGAAGTCCCGGAAGTCTCGCGGCCGCGTGCCTTCGTGATTGGCCGGGGCAGACGACAGCCCCCGCCGCAGCCATTGCCCCAGAGTCCCGCCTGTCTAGGCGGCACCGCCCACCCGCCGTCTTCCCGTGGCCCGGGGCCAGGCGGGGCGAATCTGAAGCAGGGCGGGCGACGGCCACCGTCCGGGACAGGTTCAGGCCGGGGTCAAGTTGGGAGGCCGAGAAGCGGGAGCCAGACACGGAGACAGGCGCTTGGGCAACACAGACACGGGACAGGGGCTTGGACACGAAAGGGAGAAACCGGATCCCGTCGGGAAAAGAGCACCTGTCGCAGAGACACGGACGCGGGACGGTGGCAGGTGCCGGCTGTCTCGCACCCCGCAGGCCCGGAGCGATGGGGCCACAGGGAGTCGGGGCCCTCCAGGCCCCCCGCCAGACCCCGGGCAAGTACCGGAGCTGATCCGCCGGAACGAGACAGGCCGCCTCAACTAGGGGGCCATCTGGGGCTTGGTGCGCGCTGTGGACGGGAGCGCGCAGGGTGCGCGGGAAATTCTGGACGCCTCTGACCCCAAGATCAGCCCCAGAGACCGCCTGCCCCTGGGGCCCCACCACTGTCAGTGACCCCAGGATAACTCACCGCTTTGGGAACACCCGCGTCGTGTTGATTACACCACAGTATCCTATGCCTCGGGGCGATGCTAATGGCCGTGTCACTGCAAGGCATGGGTCTGGAGAAGACAGTGGCGCCGACCCAGGCCCTGGCCAAGTCTGGGCAGCAGCTCACATAGAACTATTCCACAGGGCGAGTGGGCGACAAGGTCGGCCGGGTCTTCTTACCCGCCCTAGCTGCCTGTGGGCTGCAAGGTTAGAAGATGCCTCCTCTCCAGATCAGAACATCTGACCTCAAAGAGGTCAGCAACCCACAGGCAGTTTCTAACTTCAAGCCTGGCTTAGACAGAGTCCCCAAAGGCAGACCCCCAGCCCCAGGCTTCTCAACCCCAGAACAGAACTTAGGTTCCCCCTTCCCATCAGCCCCCATAACAGGACCAAGTTATCCAGCTCCTTGGGTACCCCAGTCCAGATTCCCAAGGCAAGAGCTGGGTACTCCTCTACCTTGGTTCCCCAGACTTGAGCCCTCAGGTAGTCCTCCTCATCACTCCCCATACCAAATCGGGACAATTTCTTTTCCATTCCCTCTCCACCAGCTGCACATCCACCACAGCTGAAGTCCTAACCAGGGAAAGTAAGGGGAGGAGCTGTGCAGGTGTCTTCAACACCCCTACCCAGCAGGTACCAATGACCAACAAATGTGGTCTGGAGTTAAGAGGGGGGCACAACTTGGATAAACTGGAGTCATTTCTGCATTCACTGCCATCCAGAGCACAGAGCAGGTACAGATGGGCTGACTGCTCACTGATCTAGGTTATTGATGACTGCTCACTGATCTAGGTTATGGATAGTAATACAGGCCAGAATCTCTGAAGGATCACTGATAGATCTTTCATCAGCATTGGATATCGATCAAAGTTATTTATGGATCATTGATGGTCACTGAACTTTGGTTTCCAGAGAAACTCCAACTGGAGTCATTAATAGGGACTTCCATCAAAATCACTGTTGGGTCTCTGATCAATCATTAATGGGCCATAGGATATTGGTCAATATCCCTGATGGGTCAAAACAGTCATTAATGAGGATTTATCAGAGTTGTTCATAAGTCTCTGGTCATGGTCTTGGACACTTTTCATGGTTGCTGATGACAGCATCAGTGCAGGGGTCACTGAAGGTCACTGGGATTCTTGATGCAAGGGAATTTGGCCCAATATAAGGGCTGCTGGAGGGAGTGGGCTGCTGTCCTGTGGGTCCCAACAGGAGGCTGGTTCCTGTGGATGGACTCCTGTATGAAGCCAAAGGTGTCAGCCACCGTTAACAGCCGGCTAGTCATTACAGGTAGCCTGCCCCTGCGCTACCGGACTCTGGATCTACCTCCTACATATTAAAGACGCCTGACCTCTGACAGCACAAAGTCCAGATCCCCAACAGGGGACCATGGGACCTCCCCCGAAACAGGTGATTTGAACCAACCCCAGGGTCAGTGTCCCGTCATCACAAGAAGCTGGACCACCAGGGCCCCTGGCTGGCTCAGTTGACAGAGTATACAACTCTTGATATCCGGGTGGTGATTTCAAGCCCCACATTGAGTGTAGAGATTATTTTAAAAAACAAAACAAGATGCCTGACCACCAAATTAAGAAAGTGACCTGACTGATGCTCCCCCTCCTAGGGAACTTGGTCCTCAATGTTTAGGGTCCTTAACCCTTCATAACTGACCCAAGTCAGCATTCCCCACATCTCCCAGGAAGCTCCAGGCTCCCTACCACCTCCAGCCCCCTCTGCCTTCCCCCACAGCCTACATCCTCCATCAGAAGATGGTGGAGAAGGGAGCCTGGTTGGCTCAGGTCCCTGGGTCCTGAGATCAAGCCCCACCTCCGGCTCCCTGCTGGGGGGTGGGGGCGGCGCCTGCATCTCCCTCTCCCACTCGCCCTGCTTCTGTTTCCTCTTTCTCTCTCTGTCAAATGGAGACAACTTAAAAAAAATGAAAACAAAAAATGTGGAGACCCACCCCATCCGCTCTGGCGGTGGGCCTGAAGTTTGGAGGGGCAAGTATTCCCTAGCCACGCCCAGGAGCTGGCAAGAGCACTGGTGAGCATCTGCGCCTCCTGGACACTGTGTGGCCTGTCTGGGTGGGTGTCATGATGGGAGCTCAAGCTCTCCTTCATAACTCCGGCAGTTAGGTTCCATTGCCTTTCGGGGCCGGGACCACCGCTCAGCCCCAGAACCGCTCCAAGTGGAAGCTCGGGCGCAGAGCCTGGACCTGAGCCTGGCCCGAGACCTATACTCCGGGACCCTCGAGCCCGGGAGCAAGAGGAGTTCCACGCGCCCGCGGACGGACGGCCCCTGGAGACCTCCGTCCCTCCCAAACCCGGCCCCTTCCCTTCTCTGAGTTCCCGTGCCCTTTCCTTCCCGACCCCTGGCCCTGGCCACTCTCCTTGCTGAGCCCCGGATTCTCGCCCCCCGCCACCCCCCCTCTGGCCCGAGGCCCTCCCGCCCTCCCCCAGGACCTCCCTGGTCCCCCGCCGCGGCGCCTGAGGCGGGCTCCACGGAGCTTGTCCGGGGGCAGCCGCGCTGGGGATCCGCTCCGGCGGCGGTAGGCGCCGATCCCCGCCCCTCCTGGCACCCGGTGGCCTGCAGGGGACGTCGTGCCCTCGGACCGCGCGCCCTGCGCCGACCGACACACACCAGTAAGGCGGGAGAGGGCGAAACCCGGTCCGTGTCCGGCGCGCGGACGGTAGGAGAGGGGCGGGAAGGGCGCGAACCCGGAAGCTTCCGAGAGGAGGGCGGCCTCAGCCGCAGGTAGCTGGGAGGGGCGGGGGCGGGGGCGGGGCCGGGGAGGAAGCCCCGCCTCGTCCTGCACTCGGCCTCGGGCGGCACCCGCCACCTTTTGCGCACGCGCGCGGGGCGGTGGGGTTGGGGGGTAGAGGAGCCCCTCGCGCCCGCCTGCGCCTGCGCCAGGCCCTTGACGCATGCGCGCTGGTCGCGAGCGAGCCGGTAGCGCAGGAGCCGGGGACCCCGACCGTGCTTCGTGGTAGAGCCCGCGGCGGCGAAAACCTCGCAGAGTGCGGGACTGTCCCCTGACTCGCGATACAGACGCCGGGTCCCAGAGAGCCTGGGTTGTGCCCAGTACGTGGCCCCTGCCGGTGTCCGCTTTCTGACCTTACCGCTCGACAGACAGCTGCGCGTCCCGGAGGGCGCCGTGGAAGAGGGGCCCAGGAAGTATCCAGAGGCTGCCTTCGCTTGCCGGAAACATCCCCGGCACAGCTTAGAGTGCGTACGTAGAGGAGGAAGCTGGCGGGCAGAGCCCGTGGGACGTGCGGAAGGTCGTCCAGCCCCGAGCGCAAGCCACCGGCCGTGGCCGAGACCAGACGCACAGGAATCCTCCAGAGGGTCTTTTCAGCAGCTGAACAGGTGAGGGGGAGTCCTAGGATGTCCACCTAGTAGACTTTCCGGGGTTCCTGCGAGAAAGGCACGGAGGACACCGAATTCGGTGTCGGATCCCAGATGCGAAGAGGGTAGGCTTGTGCCAAGTCGAGACCTCGCTTCCCCCACCCCGGGTGAGAGCACCAGGAAAGCTGCACGTGGAAGGGGCGCCCTGTGGGCGGACTGGTGTGGGCGCGCAGGGTCGCTGCTGAGCGCGGGCTGGGCAGGCCGCAGGAGGGCCTGGAGGAGTCCGTCCTTGGAGGCTGAAACCAGACTCACCCGCCTCCTTTCAAGAAATGGGGATTTATTGCAAACAGGCGCGCATGCTCAGGAACTCCGGCAAGGCATGCACTCGGAACGCTTTCAGTCACCTGAGACGGCGAGGTGCAGGAGTGCCTCCCCGGCCACACGGAGCCGCGGGCGCAGAATTGGGGGACACCTAAGCAGGGGCTGTACTTTACCTGAAGCACTTCTGTGCTCTGTGGAGCACTAAGGAGCAGGGGCAGTGCACTTGACTGTGGGCTTGGTCTGTCAGAGGGTGGCAAGTCTCCCCAGAGCCATGGGGGTTGACTCAGGGCTGAGGCCACTACAGGCTCCTGACCCCTGTGCTCTCTTCCAGGATCGTCAGGCCCATGCTGCTGCTGGTTTGGGCACCCAAGGCTTGGCACAGGCTCTCTCCGCTCAAGCCCCAAGCCCTTCTCTGGTCCAGGGGAGACAAAGCCCTACACGTGGGATACCGGCGCCTGTCTGGGCAGGTCCCTGGAGAGCAGAGCAGGCAGAGCCATCCCCAGGGCCCTAGGTTTCGGACCAGGCTGCTGATCACTGCTTTGTTTGGGGCTGGGTTGGGCGGGGCCTGGCTGGCTGCGAGGGCTGAGAAGGAGCAGCGGCGGCAGCAACAGCGGACAGAGGCCCTGCGCCAGGCAGCCGTGGGCCAGGGCGACTTCAGCCTGCTGGACCACCGGGGACAGGCTCGCTGCAAGGCCGACTTCCGGGGTCAGTGGGTACTACTGTACTTTGGGTTCACTCACTGCCCCGACATCTGCCCAGATGAGCTGGAGAAGCTGGTGCGCGTGGTTGAGCAGCTGGAGGCCGAGCCTGGCCTGCCCCCTGTGCAGCCTGTCTTCATCACCGTGGACCCTGAACGGGACACCGCCGCAGCCATGGCCCGCTACGTGCAGGACTTCCACCCGCGGCTGCTGGGCCTGACTGGTTCCGCTGAGCAGGTAGCCCAGGTGACCCGCAGCTACCGCGTGTACTACAGCGCTGGCCCTAAGGACGAGGACCAGGATTACATCGTGGATCACTCCATCGCCATCTACCTGCTCAGCCCCGATGGCCTCTTCACAGACTACTATGGCCGGGCCAAATCCGCACAGCAGATCGCGGACAGTGTCCGGCGCCACATGGCTGCCTTCCGCAGCGTCCTGCACTAAGCCAGATCATTAAAGAGGGTGTGATGAAGCTGTGTGCCTGTCATCTGTCCCAGGAGGCCAAGGCAGAAAGGGCTCAGGACCTGGTCACTTGCCGAGGGGTTAGGGCACAGGCAGCCCTTTCCCTGCACAGAGCAGGAGTTTAAGTTCCTTTAAGGGTTAGGTGGGATGGCAACACCATTTTATTCGGCTGGGCCAGCCAGGAAACAAGGGTAGAGTGAGCAGATTGCATGCCCAGCACCCAGGAGGGATGGACCTCCAGAGCCCACCCCTCAGGCTCTATGCTCCGCACTCAGGGCTGGGCCATGGAGGGGGCAGCGTAGGTCTGGAAGCGCTTGTGGGCCCGCTGGTGTGTGAGGAGTCTCAGGGACATGGTGTCCACGGCTGCCTCCAGCCCCGGCTGCTGGGTGATCTCCACCGTGTGGTCGTTGGCCTGTAGGGATGAGGCGTCAGCGGCGTCGGGGACCACTTCCCTCCCAGGCTCCCCAGGCCACTCACCAGCTGCAGGGATGCCAGCATTGAGCGACACACCTCGAAGGCAGGCTGGCCAGCTACTAGCTCCGCAAAGGGACACCACTGGTTGAGCTGGCTGAACCTGGACACTACCTGGTCCCCGTAAGTATGGATGTCAAAGGGCACGTGCTGTTCCTGCAGGGAGAAGGGGCACGATCCTGGGGCAAAACCAAGGCGGGCAGCAGGGGAGTCCCCACTTCTCAGCCAGAACTTGGCCCAGCCCCTCACCTGCTCTTGGAGCAGGGGCTGGATAGTATCCTCCCAGTCCCTGATGCGCTGGCTCAGCTCCGTCTCCTGGACGAACTTCTGAGAGGTGGCGATGAAGAGCTCCTAGGGGGACCAGGGAGCTGCCTCCTTCTGTGCGGGGGCCCCTCACCCAGCAACCCGCCAGCTCTCACTCAGACTTACCACATTCCTTCGGACCAGCTCCTCATAGCTCAGGGATGCTGGCATGGCCTCTGCCTCTGGAAAAGAGGCAACTATGAGCTGCTGTGGCCATGGGCCACACCCTTCCTCCCTCTCATGGTCCCCCGGCCAGCAGGCCCCTCTCAGACCTACCCAGGTCAGCAGCTTCCCCAGGCTTTGCCTCCTGAGGCTCTGCATACTCCTCAGGCTCAAGAAAGTCATCTGCTGGTAGACAGAGAAGCCCCAGCAGGAGGCAGGTTTGCTGGCAGTGGATGCTGAACCCCCCCCCACCCTGGCCCATCCCAGCAGGCTCCCACCTGCTGTCCCCAGATCCTCCAGGGACTCCTCCAGCTGGTCCTCCACAGGCCACAGCCCTTCCTCAGGCCTCGGCAGCCACCGCTCAGTCATCTGTGCAGAGAGCACCTATGAGGGGCACGGCTGTCCCCACCAGGGGCTACGTGGGGTCCTGACAGAGGCCAGCACTGACCTCCCTCCTCTGCAGCTTCCGGAGAGTCTCCAACTGCTCCTTCACATGCTTCCAGTACAGGACCTCCATGTCTGCACACAAAGACCTCGTGAGAGGGGCTCCCATGTCATGCCCAGGCACTCCCAGTCCACCTAGAGCCTTGGGCAGCCCCCAGGCCAAGGGGAGGCAGGCAAAATACCGCATAGAACCACTGTTCCTCAGAAGGGCGCACTCACAACTCTGACCTCACCTGCAAAGGATGGGCCCTTTCGCCGGGGCCTCCTGCTGTCGGCGTGGTCAGCATCTTCAAGAGAATTTGGTCAGCGGGAACCAAGCCAAGTCCCTGCAGGCTATACCTGGACCCTCCTGCCCTGGCCCAGCCCCGCCCCCACCCCCACTCACAAGCAGCCAGGTACCACTGGTGGAAGTCCTGCAGCTTGGGGGCGCCCTTCCTCTTGCGCTTCTGTCCTGGAACCTCCTCCACGCAGGCGGGCACGGAGAAAGGCCTACCTGGGGGCACGAGCACAGCTTGGGGCCCTGGGGCAGGCTACAGCACCCACACGCTCCAGGAGCAACTGCACCAGGGACCACACTCCCCACCAGGCTCCTAACGGGTACAGAGCCCACCCTCACCAACCACGGGTGCTCCAGAGAGCCCATCCACAGATGCCCAAGGGAGGTGTCCCTGTACCCGATTACCTTTCTTGAAAGGCTTAGAGTCCAGGGAGTCAAAGGGGTCCAGGCTCTGCCAGGGGTCTGGAGTCTCCTGAGCACAGGGCACAAGCAGACACTGCGGGGGGCGGGGGACACTGGGGATGCCCACCCCCTCTCAAAAGCCCAGACACTGAGTGCAGTGACAGCCAGAGAAGGGCTAGCCACATTCAATCCAGAACCCAAGGGTGACACACCAGGGAGGGAGGTGCCCCAGAGCAGCAGAAGAGGGGACTTCAATTTCTGGAGGAAGGAAGATTCCTCACAAGAGAGCCAACAGCGGTGAGGGCAGGGGAGCCTCAGCACCACCTCCCTGGCGGGGGGGTCTGAGCCCCACTTCCCCTCACCTTCATCAGGGACACTGGCTGCCGTCGCTCCCGCAGCACACACCGACCAGGCTGGGCAGCACTCTGCAAAGAAACAGCCCACGGATCAGTCTCTCCCCCTCCTCCATCCAAGGCTCAGGCAACCCAGCAGCTGTGCTCTGGGGCCAGACGTCAAGAACCCTGTAGGGAGGGACCATCTGAGGGCAAACAAAACTCTAGGAAAAATTTTAGAACATATAAACTAGTAAACTAGTGGTCATGGGTACTTTTATTTTTCTTTAAGAAAAAAATAAGATAGGGCGCCCGGGTGGCTCAGTGGGTTAAGCCTCTGCCTTCGGCTTGGGTCATGATCTCAGGGTCCTGGGATCGAGCCCCGCATCGGGCTCTCTGCTCAGTGGGGAGCCTGCTTCCCCCCTCTCTCTCTGCCCGATGCTCTGCCTACTTGTGATCTCTGTCAAATAAATAAATAAAATCTAAAAAAAAAAAAAAAAGAAAACGAAAAAAGAAGATAAACATGGTACATCCACCAATCAAAATGAACAAATAACATTTTCTTCTCTGTGCATTGGAGTTTCTCAGCTCTAGGCTGAAACACAAAGCTGACCCTGGGTGGTGGAAGGAAGCCGCCAAAGCCTTGGAGCCCGTTTCTTCCTGCAAGCCTGACCTCGAGGAGTCAGCTTTGGAAACAAGCTGCCGTCCTCGGTGGGAGCTACGGACACCACGGGGCTTGGACCCTGAAGCCCCGCTCCTTCCCGAGGAGCTGCAGCTGTTCTGCTCAGGAAGAGGGACAACGCGATCAGTGCTGTCCTAAAGGGCTGGGTGCAAAGCCAGGTCGAAGGCTGTCTGGACGGTGCACCCACCGCCCCAGTGTGCAAGGACCAGACAGAAGGAACAGAGTGCTACGGGCCTGCGGGCAAAGCCCACAGCGCTGCCTATCCCGTCTAAGTGTGGGCAAGCTTGCCCGGCTAATGGCTCGAGCTTTGCAGGCCTCAGTAGGGTCCTACCTGCTGCGGACTCCTGGGTTCCTGGGGCTCCTGAGGGGCCTCGGGGGCTGTGGCCTCGGGGAGCTCTGCTGCCTCCTCTGCGCCCTCATCGTCACCACCACCTCCAGGCATTGGGCCTTCTGGAGAGGCACCTGAGCAGGGGAGGAAGACACCAGACAGGAGGTGGGAGGCCGCCCCCGGCCGACACCCAGGAGAACCTGCGAGGCCCTCCCCTCACTGAGCCTCATTCATCAGACCCAGAGAGAGTAGCCGGACACTTCCCACTCTTCTCGTCATGCCCCTCTGTTCCGTTTGGCTCCTTTTCCTTTTAGCAACTTTCCTCCTGAAATGCTGCCATCTGTGCTTGCCCAGAGAGGAGGGGTAGATCCAAACCTCACAGGCTCAAGAATGGTCAGAGGGCAGTCATGAGACCAAGACCACACAGTGGGCCAAGGTGGGGAGGGAGGCCGAGGCCTGGGCACAAAGAAGCCAGGCTTCCTTGCTCCCCACACCTCACCCCGGGGTAGCTGAGCAGAGCCCCGAGCAGAGCCCCATGCCCCCCGCCTCCACCCCCACTGCAAGTCCACACATCCTCTCTCCTCACTGGACTCCCGGGAGACGCCGAGCACAGGGACAGGACCACACGCAGCGACTTCCATGGGCTGTTCTTCAGCCCTCTCAGCCTCTGGGAAAGATGGAAGATGGGACAGGGTCAGCCCTCGCCCTCCCCCAGGAGGTCCCTCCCAAGGGCTGGGCAGGGAGAGCAGAGACCTGGCACAGGACTCGGGCACCCCGGGGCTGAGCCAGCTACGGCCAAAGCCAGGACAAAGGGGAACTGCACCAACAGAACCATCTTCAGTGCAGGTGCCTGGGGAGGGAGGTGGGACCAGAGCTGGCAGGCACAGGGGACCCTTCCTTCCCGCGCTCCCACATCCAAGCCCTCACCCTTCTGGCTCCTCAGCAGCGGTGTCTCCACTGGGGAGATGCCGACTGGCTCCAACATGAAGGCTCCCCTGGGGTGGGGGGTGCATGTGTTCATCCTAAAATCCTTCCGGCTGGCTAGGACCTCCCCCTGACAGCTGTGCAGGCAGAAACACAGGCACTGCAGAGACCCTTTCCACGGGCCTCTCCCCTTATCTGACTCCCCTCCGCCAGGCTCAGGCCCATACCTGTATAGGGGGCTGACGTTCTTCTCCATCTCATGAGGGGCCACGAGGGCCATGGGCAGGAGAGGGACAATGAGGACCTCCTGCATGGAGGCCAAGAGTGGGTGAGCCACAGGTCCCGGGGGCTCCAGGTGGGGAACCCACGTAGGAGGACGCCTTCCCACAGCCCCTGCAGCTCAGGGCAGCCCCTACAGAAGGAGGGGCACTCACACGGAGGGGCAGGTCAGTCCTCAGATCCACATTAGCACGCGAGTCAGGGAGATCATCCAGCGACAGGAACTGCGGGGAGACAGAGCTCAGGAGCAGCGCTGGGCAAGTGTGCAGGGGGCAGTGGCCAGGCACCCAAGAACTCTTACCTGGTCCTCCACCTCCTGGGGAGCCATGGAGCTGGTGTCCCCACTGGCCCCATTTTCCCGCACTGAGGAGAGCTGCTTGGCCCGCCTGAGAGAGAACCAATGCAC